CATTACTTCCAGCTGAGGCACAAGGAGGGGTTGGGTTTACCAGCTGATCCACAGTCTTAAACAGAAACCTGGGATTGTGTTTATGTGTAGTAATGAGTTCAGAAAAATATGTGTTCTCGCATCCTTAACCATGTTATTGTAGTTAATTAATAAATCCTTCAGACTGAGGTAATGGACTTGGAGACTGGATTTTTTCCATCTGTGCTCTGCTTTCCTGCATTCCCTTTTTAGGCTGCGAATGCTGTCATTTATCCAGGGTTGTTACTAGCTTTAGATGTAGGCCTAACCTTTAGAGGAGCAGTAATATTTAGTGACGACAAGCAGATATGATTGAAGTGATCAACCAGATTGTTGGTGTTGGAATCAGACAGGTGTTGGCTTTGGCTCTGAAAGAATGCGCAAAACTTTGAAACACTTTGTTCATTAAAGATGCGACAACACACGGAGCTTGGTGAGGCGGCATGAGTAACAGGCAAATCACAGCTAAAAACAATACATCTGTGGTCAGATATGGTCGTGTCCACTAATTCCACAGAGGAAATGCTGACACCCAGGGTAAAAACCAAGTCCAGTGTATGACCACGGTTATGTGTTTGCCATTTGACATGTTTGAAGTTAAAAGAAGTGGCCATATTTAAAAAGTCAGTTGCATTAACATTGTTGGGGTCATCAACATGAATATTAAAATCGCCACAAAGAACAATTCTGTCATAATTTAAAACCAGAGTAGATAAAAATTCAGGAAGTTCTGATAAAAATCCTCCAGGCGGTTTTGGGGGGCGATAAATTATAACAAATATAATAGGTTGCAGCCCTCCAACTTTAAGAGTGAGAACTTCAAAGGAGTTAAATTCATCACAGCGTACTTGATGACATTTAAAATTTTTCTTATACACGCTCACTAGCCCACCACCACGACCACTGACCCTCGGTTGACTAAAACAATCATATTGAGGCGGACACAGTTCAGCTAGCTGGCTATAGTCATTCATCTGCAACCAGGATTCAGTTAAAAACATAAAATCTAGATTTGCAGACAAGATAAAATCATTTAAGATAAAAGTATTACTTGAAAGTGATCTCACATTGAAGAGAGCCATTTTAAATGAGTTTGTTCTGGGTGCTGGAGTTGGTGCAGTTGTCCTAATCCTTATAAGATTACTATTATTTCTGTGTGGGATGTGCACATTTCGGTTTACTGGTCTATGCGTGATGATGACAGGAATAGAAGTCTGTGGAACATCGCTGGGAGCAGACGGCTTTACATGCCAGCAGGTGGAGACAGTTATTTGTGGCAGTGAGGCAGAGATCTGTTCAGTGACCGGTGGTGTGTCCAGGTGTGCTGCATATCACCATGTAATTGCATAAATGAAATTTTGCTGTCCCGCTTACATCTAAATTGTCTCGTGAGTTAAAACCAGTAACCAGCAAGTATACTGAGGACAGGTAATTAAATTGAAAAAATAAAATTTTGTTACGTTTTGTATAACCATTATAACCTTTTTCCATAGTGTTTAGCCTTGTTTTAACTGTCTTTATCCGAATGTTTAGAACTAAGTATTTTTCCAAATGTCGATATTGTAGAGAGGGAGATTAAAGGGAAATACGCGCATGGTATATTTAGTTATCCCAAAAACTTAACACGTTAGCGACCTCCTAGGGAGACACCCCCCCACCCCAAAATTGACGTCACACTACCTAGTGGAATCAATAAAAAGGCCCTGCTGTCTTTTGTTCGCTCTCTTCTCTTCAAAAAAAAAAAAGGTCCTCTCTTCTAAAAACTTTCTTGAAACTAAACTCTTAACTTCCTTTACTTTTTGAAATTCCGATTTTTTTCGTTTCGTATTTAATCTCCTTCAGACGAGCTGAGAAAGCCCCTGAATCCAATTTTATTCTGTTTGGAGCCGCCTGCTTAATCTCAGCAACATTAAATAGCCTATATTCCTGAGGCCTCGCGAACCTACGGCGAATGTGTGAGTTTATTTGATTTTGTTGTTGCAACCTCATCCGACCGTTGTGAGCAACTTTGGACCAGAAACTCAGAAGCCTTCATTTATGTCCCTGAACAAATGAAACCACTATTGGGCTCCGCTATAGCGACAACAAACGAACTGAGATCAGATCAAAAGCCTTGGCTGACAGCCCTTTGCTGCAAGCGCTTCCCACAGAGGACTCCGGACCCAATCCACCGGTTTCGAACCCAACTCAAACGCCACTGGTGTTGGGCCAGAACCGACTTCACGAGCCAACCGGCAGCCTTAATACGGGACCTGCGGCAACGGTAGGGCAAAACAAACCACACTCTGTGACTCGTTGGTGTTCTCTAGTGGCTCCATCCACAGTTAATAACCCTTAGATTAGTCAAACTAAATCTGCAACCTGATTTCGGTCATTCGTTCCCTCATACTTGTAGAATTCTCTCTCTACAATACAAACTGAAATTCAGTCGAGCCTTACACAGGCCACCCTGTTTTATTACCTCCTGGTTGTCATATTGACTGTTACCCTGTAATATTACCACATTTACCCACTATTGTACTCTTTTGTTAGTTAATAAATTCACCTTGAGCACGGTGATGAGGTGTGTGTTAAGAATCTAGAGTCCCTATACATAGAACTTATGCTCAGATCTGAGACTGACTGATTGACTTTAAGATTTCAGAATAACTGAACCAGTAACAACTAAATGAATTACCAGAAATTCGTATAATTCTCAGGCTATACTCAAGGACCTAAAGCCTTGGCGGACAAGCAAATCTTTAGGTGGTGCTCCTAATTTCGAGGCATAAATTAATATTCCCGGAAATATTAATTTTCATAACTGTATTAAAATTTTACGTAGCCTAGCTATGCTACAAAGGAAATCAGCAGCTTCTGGCCTTCCTCAGTGCCCTTAGAAAATAGAGACGCTCCCCTGCCTTTTTTCACAAGTGTGGTAGTGTTAATAGTCCTCAGAGATTTGTGTGCCCAGGAATTTTAAGTTTGCTGACTCGCTCGACCATGTCTCCTTTGATATATAGAGGAGCATATTCTTCTTCCTTCCTCCTAAAGTCAATTATAAAGTTCTTTTGTTTTTGAGGAGTTGAGTACCAGGTTGTTAATGTGGCACCACGCAGTCAGTTTCTGGACTTCATCCCTGTAGGCAGACTCATGTTTTGTTTGCAGCCCACCACAGTTGTGTCGTCCACAAATTTAATAAAAGTGTTATTGCTGTGGATGGTGGGCAGTCATAGGTGTATAGAGTGTAAAGCAGTTCTGCTCTTTTCATTACGGTTTCTGGCTCTGTAACGAAACTGCCACACAACTTACTACTCTCGCTCTCTCTCTCTCCTCACAGTGCCGCACGGGCAAAAGTAGCATGTGCGTAACTCTGAAGAGAGCTCGCGGTCCGGTGGATTTCAAGTGTAAGAAAGGGAATTTGTGAGCAGATGATAGCGAGGTAGAGAAGGAAAAGAGCCACGTGTTTATAATGTTTTTTTGTGGAGCTTTTTCATTCACCGTGGCTCCGTGTACAGCAGAACTGTGACAGCTCAGCTAGAACAGCTGCTCTTGAGTGACGTCAAAGTCGCATCAATTCCGACCTCAGTGTCCAGACATTCACACATTTAAAAAGATCCGATCTGTGTCTGATCTGGACCACATATGAGTGGCCCAAATCCGAACTGGAAAAGATCAGATTCCATGTGACCTGACATGTTCACACTGTTATAAAAAGATCAGATCTGAGTCACATATCAGCAAAAAAATTGCATTTGGGTCACTTTGCCCTGCAGTCTGAACGTAGCCTAAGGCTATCGCTAGTGGGTTAGAGGCATAGCTGTATAAGTCAATGCATCACTGGGTCCATCGAGTACCACTAAGCTCAGACGCACCTTCCCAGAACACTAATTAAGCAGTCTCCACCCAGCATTAAGCAATGCGTAAAGGCTAACCACACATGCCCCAAAGGCACAGCATGGTAGAATATATATTGTAGTGTGTGTAAAAAATATTCTATTACATGTGCTCTTTTCAGTGGTGTCAACATGAAAGTCTACATTAAGGCTTCAGGACCCACCAGTGTCACAGTGTTGCCAAAAACAAAAGGTAAAGCATGATATTTTACTGCGACCACCGCCTATAATAATAATCAACAATAATTCAAAACTGAATGAGCTACAGACAAAAGTAAAACAGGCAGAAAATGACTACATTTGTAAACAACTTACTATTTTCTTCTGGCTATCTTTCTCCTGTATAGAAATGTATTCAGGCCAATTCACCAGCTGTTAGCAGTGTATATAGTCTCTCAGGAGTAAGAGTAGTATTATGGTGAATTAGGACGTTTGAGCAGAGGGACAATATCTCAGTATCACATATTAGTTTTAGTCGCTGTTATTAGCAGCTAGCAGGTACATTAGCCACACTTAGAAGTAAAAACAGATGCCCTTGTGTTCTCATTTGCATTATCATAGTTTCTTCCAGTTTTGAAGACCAATTTTCTACATTCATACATCTGGTGAGGTACATTAAGTCCAATAAGGTTTTGCTCCCAGTAAACTACAAAATATTTAGACAATTTACATCTCTAGATAGTGAGTTTGAGCCTCAACATTGGACAGGATATTGCTTTAAATGATAAGGCTGTGAATGGCTCATTCCTCTGTGAGCTTCATTGTTGTTCAAAAACTAAACAAATAAATGAGCCTACTAGTGCTCCAAATGTGTTTTTGCTGAAAATAGTTCAACACGTGCATACCTTGAGTAATACTAAAGCTGAACCTTTAAAAACTACAATCTATGTTGTGACACGTTTATAAAGATATACAGTATGTCTTCAGTAGTAAAAAATTACTTGGGACTGTGTTCCACAAACCAATTAGTGAGAGACATATGTTTTGTTTTTTTTGACAGTACAAAATATATAAAATAACCCCATCCTTATTCTTTAACTTCCTCTTAGGTCAACCAGAGGTGAAGAGCAGCAGTGTGAAGTCTGGACCTTCTGGCTATTACTACCAGGGTGTGTAGTGAGCACTAGGTGGCACCACAGTTCAACAATTCAACACCCCTTCTGCCATCAGTTAGTGTCTGAAAGGCAAGAAGGTCCACCTGTATGGAGACTCCACCATCAGGCAGTGGTTTCAGTACTTCAGAGCAGCACTGCCAGGTAACTGATCCACAGGGATTTCTGACAGCAGTTTGATTTTGTTCACACTGCAGCTTCATCTGTTCTCTCTAATACTTTTAGATCTTAAGGAGTTTAACCTGCGCGGCCCGACACAAGTTGGACCTTTCATGGCCTTGGACTATGCAAACAATCTTGGTGACATATCGCTGCCACGGTCCTCCTCTCAGTTATACCATTGTTCCAACCGCCGAGCTGCGTTACGTTGCCAATGAACTAGATGGCTTAACCGGAGGCACCGACACTGTCGTAGCTCTCAGCATCTGGGCTCATTTCACCCCTTTCCCCATGGAGGTCTACATCCGGCGGCTGCAGAGCATCCGCAGGGCAGTGGTGCGGCTACTGGACAGGGCTCCAGGCACACTGGTCGTCATCTGGACCGGGAACCCCAGAGCTTTGACTTGTACTTTGGCGCTAGGCTGCAGCGACTAGTATGCGGTGAACGGTGACAAGGTGCTCAGAGCTCAGTCCAAGCCTCCCGATGCGAGCCACGCCCCTAACCTCTAACCCTAACCCTTGCAAGCTGACCCAAGTTTGGTGGTAATCGGACTGATACATGCGGCGATATGAAATTAATGTAAGTGAATTTCAACAAACGTCTTTAAACTGCAATTACAGGGCCACCTAGGGGCATATTAGGGTCAACTTTGGGCCTCCAGTCATGAGACTATCCTGAACAACGTTGTTGTACAGGCCCCAGGTGAAACGCAAAACCTGACAAGCATCCTAGCACACCACACCTGCAAGCTGGGAGTCACAGCATTCAAACATAATAGTGGTTACAAGAAGAGACAGGAGAGAAAAGAACAGGAGGAGAGAGCCGCAAAGCTCCCAAATTACATTCTTTTGGATTTTATTACTCAAGACATTGTCGAAGGTTTTGCTCAAATAGGTAAGTAGCCTACAAGTGCTTTTCAAGGGTGTTTTTGGTGTATGCCAAATGAAATATCAATTCTGGGTCAGGTTGTCGCTGAGCACTTGTTGATTGAAGTCTGATAACCTTCTCTTGACTTCTGTACTTTGTAATTACTATAGTCTAGATAACACATACTGACTGTAAAATCCAACACATGTACTTCAGACTGCTGCGGCCAGGCACACAGCAGCTGCAGCAGCAGCAGCAGCGGATGTGTGTATGTGTCATTGCTGTAGGTTGCTATTGCTCTGTCATGTGTAGTTTGTAGCTTAATGCTCTATCTTCTGTATTGTTTGTTCCGCCCTGGATATCTGCCTGTACCCTTGCCTGCCTGTGCATTAGATCTGTTTCCCCATACCTTTGTTTGGATTTGTTTTGGACTCAGGCACTGTGGGCTCACCTTTTGTTGGAATTAAACCCTTTGAAGTGTACCTGTTCCACTCTGTGTCCTGCATTTGGGTCCTCCAACCTGCTCAACCACACCACACATATTAACAGTATGTGACGCACTCAAAGAGAACTGTTCAATTGATTGTGTTAATATGGACAAGACACTGATTTCAGGAACTTTGACTTGAGTAGGTTTGGCATTTACTGCATCTGATCTTATTTGTTGTTAAACTGTGCACATTGAGGAAACAAAGCATACAAATTAGCTAATATAGGGTTCCCTTCTAATCTGTGTATGGTTCACTCTTTGATTATTTCATTTCAAAACCGAATCGGAAAAACCAAGTGTTTTTTGCGATTCGTGTAGCTTTGTGTGTTACACTTGATAAACCTGCAGCAGATACACTTGGGCGATGGCGGTGCCTGATTAATGTAATTAAGATGAGCTTGAACATTAACATAAGTGGGTTTTTAGTTAGAAAAACAGGACGATATTATATAGCTGCAGTACCGGAGGCTGCAGCTATATAATACTGTATCAATGTTCAGTTCGTAACTCACTAGCAACTGGAACATTTTAAGATTTCTCAAATTAATTCAGTGATAGTTGTCAGTAACTACAGCCAATGGTACCCTACACAGCAATCATGAACTGTTAGCCCATTAGTTAATTTGGAGAGCTGTATATTAACGATTCATACACTGTTTCGACCTGACCTTTATTTTCTTTGTGAGTTGGAAGAATTTAGAAAGTTGCGCAGCACTGCGGAGAGCCTCTCGCTGCAGTAACACACAGATTATGCGTAAAATCAAGAGCTCAGACTTCATCCAGCCAGAGGGAACGACCACTGACCGTTCAGTGCGCTGGTTCCACTGGCAACACAACCCATAGCAGGGTGAACGGAGGGGGAAGGAGAGTGGGTGGCTGAAGCATACATGGTGAGGGAGAGGAGGTCACAACCTGGCCGTAGCCTTGAGGGAAAAACCCTTGATAAACATATTCAGGTATTTTCTTAGATCGCTCAGGTAACCAGCTGCTTCAGATCAGCCCAAAACAAAATGCTTCCTTGATGCTGACGTAGGCTACTTAAGTTAGAAATTCGAGTGTAGTGCTCACTTCTACAATCATATTCGCCACAGATACGAGATTCGATGCGACCTGAAAAGAATTATCTATCTATCTATCAGTTTTATAGGTTACATATTAAACAGTGGTCATTGCAGTAATTTAGCACACAGTAAGTGTTTCAGTGCAACTGTCCACAGAGTCACAGTGTTATACTTAAAGACGGACATAGATTTTATTCTGTGCTGAGCATAAATCCACGATGAGTGGAGATCTGTCCTTACATCGATAACAGATTGATCATAAAGCGGTCATGTTCAAGATCATGTTTGGGTAAAAAACTAACGATTTAAAATTTTTTAAAGATGTAAATGTGTTACGATATGTAGGCCTACTTTGAAATCGACAGAATGAATGAGGAAATGAAATGGTGTGTCAGACAAGAGTCAAGAGAAACTGACGGTTTTAACTTCAACTTATCCTGTGAACCTAACGTCTTGGATTACGTATGTAACCCTTGTTCCCGAGAAGGGAAACGAGACTACGGGAACGCCTCTGGGCGTGGCAGGGCTGGAACATGAATGAAACTACTCCAATCCTATTGGTGTTGCTAGAACGGTAGCGTGTGATGGCGTAAATGGAGGCGTATATAAGCACGCCGGCACACAGGACACATTAGCCCTTTTCTATGGAACGAGAATACCCACTTAGGCCGCGCCAAAACCCCGCCTGCCCCCAGTGTGCAGTACCTGACGGCACGACTAGGAGGAGAGCGCACGGGTGCCAGGTGCAGAAGGAAGGTCCAGACTGTAGAACCGGATGAAGGTGTGAGGGGTGGCCCAGCCAGCCGCATCACACAAATCCTGGAGTGACACCCCTGCGAGGAGGGTCCTAGAAGCCGCCATGCCTCGAGTAGAGTGCGCCCTTAAGGCCATAGGTGAAGGTAACCCGCGCACCTGATAGGCCAGGGAAATAGTCTGAACAATCCAGTTTTCCGGGAAAAAGCATACAGCCGCAGCCTTGGCCACGTCTGTACCATGGCATCCAGCCCTAGTGGGGTTGGGGGCGAGAGGGAGAACCACAGAGGACAGTGCGTCGTCTCTTGAGACGCAAACAAGTCCACGTCTATGGGGCCGAACTCTTCGCACAATAACTCCACCACCTCGGGGTGGAGTCTCCATTCCCCGGGCCTCAGCCCCTGTCTCGACAGCAGGTCTGCTCCTTGATTCTGGGTCCCAGGGATGTACATCGCTCTGAGGGACAGCAGTCTCTGCTGGGACCACAGGAGGATCCGATGCGCCAGCTTGCATAATGGGCGCGAGCGCAGATCCCCCTGGTTCCCCCTGCTGCCATGAGCCCCAACACTCTCTGAAAGTTTTTCACAGTGATGGAGCGGCCTAGCTTTATCCTGGTTACTGAGAACACAATGGACCCGACGCGTGCAGGTGACAGGTGGGCCCGAAATGTCATCGAGTTCCACACCACCCCTAGGAACGTAGTCTGTTGGGCAGCACGCTCTTCTTTGTGTTGAGCCGCAGCCCCAAACGCCGAAGGTGGGCGAGGACGACATCTCGATGCCGAACCGCTGTATCCATACATTTCGTTAACGTGCGAGGAGAGAGTGCTAGGCCGAACGGGAGAACCCAATTCTGGTATGCCACTCCCCCGTAGGCGAACCTCGGGAACTTCCTGTGAGAGGGACGGATGGAGATGTGAAATATGCGTCTTGTAGATCTATCGTGACAAACCAATCCTCGGATTGAATCTGACTGACGATGGCAGGGATGGTGAGCATCTTGAATCTGAATCTCCTCAGAGATTTGTTCAAGAGCCGTAGATCTAAAATCGGGGCTGGTGGCCGGTGTTCTGCGTCGGCCCTCGGTATGACAACCCACGGTATGTGAGCGAAAACTGTGCCACCTGCGGCCCCTCGGGGCATGCAGATTGGCACGTGTCTGCTGGAGGCCAGCGCGTCCCTGGTGTCGATGCAGCGGGATAATAGCGCCTGCTTCCTGAGATGCCATGAGAGAGGGGACCTCGGTCTCCGCTTTGGGTTCCCCGTGGCACCCTGCAGTGGAGGTCCGCCAGGGAGATCCCGCCAACAGCCCATGGTATGCGAGCCAAAGCGCCTGCCGACTATGGCCCCTCGGGGCAGGCAGCATGGCGCGTGCTTGCTGGAGGCTAGCGTGTCCCAAGCGTCGCGGCGGGATACCTGCGCCCACTGCCTGAGCTGCCACGATGGAGGGAACCTCGGTCGCCCTCTTTCGGGGGCTTGTGTTTGACCCCCTTTGGCCTTCAGAACTCCCTTAATTCTACGTGGCATTGATTCAACAAGGTGCTGAAAGCATTCTTTAGAAATGTTGGCCCATACTGATAGGATAGCATCTTGAAGTTGATGGAGATTTGTGGGATGCACATCCAGGGCACGAAGCTCCCGTTCCACCACATCCCAAAGATGCTCTATTGGGTTGAGATCTGGTGACTGTTGGGGCCATTTTAGTACAGTGAACTCATTGTCATGTTCAAGAAACCAATTTGAAATGATTGGAGCTTTGTGACATGGTGCATTATCCTGCTGGAAGTAGCCATCAGAGGATGGGTACATGGTGGCCATAAAGGGATGGACATGGTCAGAAACAATGCTCAGGTAGGCCGTGGCATTTAAACGATGCCCAATTGGCACTAAGGGGCCTAAAGTGTGCCAAGAAAACATCCCCCACACCATTACACCACCACCACCAGCCTGCACAGTGGTAACAAGGCATGATGGATCCATGTTCTGATTCTGTTTACGCCAAATTCTGACTCTACCATCTGAATGTCTCAACAGAAATCGAGACTCATCAGACCAGGCAACATTTTTCCAGTCTTCAACTGTCCAATTTTGGTGAGCTCTTGCAAATTGTAGCCTCTTTTTCCTATTTGTAGTGGAGATGAGTGGTACCCGGTGGGGTCTTCTGCTGTTGTAGCCCATCCGCCTCAAGGCTGTGCGTGTTGTGGCTTCACAAATGCTTTGCTGCATACCTCGGTTGTAACGAGTGGTTATTTCAGTCAAAGTTGCTCTTCTATCAGCTTGAATCAGCAGATTGTGAAATACTCAGACCGGCCCGTCTGGAACCAACAACCATGCCACGCTCAAAATTGCTTAAATCACCTTTCTTTCCCATTCTGACATTCAGTTTGGAGTTCAGGAGACTGTCTTGACCAGGACCACACCCCTAAATGTATTGAAGCAACTGCCATATGATTGGTTGATTAGATAATTGCATTAATGAGAAATTGAACAGGTGTTCCTAATAATCCTTTAGGTGAGTGTATATATAGACACTATAAACAAAACAGACAGATTGAGACAATAGTGCAATGAGCAGAGTACAAAGGGTGCAGGAGTAAATCATTATTACCATTATTGTTATTATTATGTACTTGTCGGAGGTGGATGTGCATGTACACATGCAAGCATACATGTACACAGTTTGAGTGGAAAGAAAGCTGGAATAAATAAGTATTATGTGCAGGTGTTATGTAAATGAGGTAGGTGGATTTGGTATACAGCATATACAATATGAACAGTAAGAGCAGCTCTTGAGTCAAGGTGAGCTGGCAGGTTTGGCTGGCAGGTGAGTGAGACAGAAGCCGGGGAGAGATGATCCAGAGAGATGTGTGAAGGCTGGCTGGCAGGGCTGGCAGAGACTGAGGTCCAGTTGGTGGATCTAGAGATGAACGACATACCTGATTGCAGTCAGGTGAGGAAACGTGCCAAACCAGGAAGGGCAAAAGCAACGCCCACACCCACCCAATGTGAGAGAGGGACAAAACAGACAGACAAAACCAAAATATACCAAGCATACAACATTCTCCCAAAGGT